TTCTGCTGGGGAAGGGGTTAAGAGGTTTTATTCCCTCCCTAACTTCAGGGGAAAATCCCTACCTGGGGAAACAACCTTTCTCAGAGAGGTGACCTTGGTTAAAACACATAGTGCCAAGAAGGTGAGCAAACATATTAAGAACAGTATGCCATATATGCCAGGTCCCTTGAAACAGCAAGGATGGACCGGCTCCCAGCAAATAGCAACTATGAGTCAAAGTTACTTTCCCCTGGATAATCAGCTAACTCTTAAATGGCTTTGTTAACATAATACTCTATAGCAACATAGTCCATATAAATATAATGCAAGCCACATATGTAATTTTACATTTTCTAGTAGCCACATTTTTTAAAAGAAGTGGTAATATTAATTATGAAAATATATTTAATTTAGTATATCCAAAATTATTATCATTGCAACATGTAATCAATACCAAATAAGTTACTAATGAGCCCTGGCTGGTTTGGCTCAGTGGCTAGAGTGTTAGCTCATGGACTGAAGGGTCTCAGGTTTGATTCCTGGTCAAGGGCATGTACCCTGGTTGCAGGTTCAATCCCCAACCCAAGTTGGGGTGTGTGTGTGTGAGGTAACCAATTGATGTCTCTCTCTCTCTTTCTCTCTCTCTCTCTCTCTCTCTCTCTCTCTCTCTCTCCCACCCCCCACTTCCCTTCCCTCTTTTCTCTCTAACAAAAAAAAAATCACTGGAAAAAATATCCTCCAATGAGTATTTAAAATATATATATACACACACACACATTAATGAGGTATTTTACATTTTTTCTAAGTGACTGAAATATGACAGGTATTTTATACTTACAGCACATCTCAGCTCAGACAAACTGCATTTGAAGTGCTCAGTGCCACACAGGGCTTGTGGCTGCCGTGCGGGGTAGTGCAGCTCTGGAGCAGTGCTTCTCAAACTTTAGGGAGCATCAGAATCGCCTGAGGGCTGCCTGGCTGGTGTTGTTCAGTGGTTGAGCATCAACCTATGAACCAGGAAGTCACAGTTCAATTCCTGATCAGGGCACATGCCCGGGTTGTGGGCTCAGTCCCCAGTGGGGGGTGTGCAGGAGACAGCTGATCAATGATTCTCATCATTGATGTTCCTATCTCTCTCCTCCCTTCCTCTCTGAAATCAATAAAAATATATTAAAAAGAAAAAAGAATCACCTGAGGGCTTATGAACACACAGATGGCTAGGCCCCACCCCCAAGAGGTTCTGATTCAATGTGTCTGAGGTGAGTCCCAAGAGTCTGCATTTCTAGCAAGTTCCCAGGGGATGCGGCTACTGGTGGTGTGGGTGCCACACTTGAAAACCACTGTTCCAGAATGTGTTTGGAAGGGCTCACAGGCATCTTTTTGCCTTATTTGCAAGTTGTGGATAACTTTTCTTAACAGCTCTGAGGCTGGCAGGGCCGCGGCATGCGCTGCTGCAGCAGCAACAGGCTCTCAGGGGAGGGTGTGCATTGGCTGGGCCTCCGACGCGGTGGGAGCAGCCCATGGACTACCAGCTGGCAGTGGGTGAGATTTCAGCAGCTCCACCATTGATGGCATCGACTGTGTGCAGTTCTGAGCCGCAGGCTCAGAGGAAATGGAAAAGGGAACTGACTCTCATCACCCCCACGGAGGGCTCAGGCCTTGCGTGGCTGCTTTTTACTCAATACCTCTCTGCAAGTAAAGCCAACCAGGCTCAAAAGCTGAGATGTCCTGGGCAGGTCTGCACAGGTGGAGGTGCCAGAAGGGCCCTGGGGCTCTCAGGGAGGCGTGGTCTCCAAAGGCCAGACAGGAAGTGGGAATTGGTGTGGACCCAAAGGACAAAAGCAACCTGTACTGGAAAGGGAAAGGGTGGGAAGACCTGCGAACAAGGGCTATGGAAGAAGCCAAGATGGGAGTTCCCCCAGAGGGAGCCAGGACCCTGCAGGAAACAGCAGCCTGAGGCATTGGGAGGTAGGAACTAAAGCAGCAGTTCTCAACCTGTGGATCACTACCCCTGAAAATACATCCTGCATATCAGATATTTACATTATGATTCATAACAGTATCAAAATTACAGTTATGAAGTAGCAACAAAAATAATTTTATGGTTGGGGGTCCCACAACATGAGGAACTGTATTAAAGGGTCGCAGCATTAGGAAGGTTGAGAACCACTGGAAGGATGTCCAGAGGCAGAACTGGAAGGCGCCTCAGCAGCCATCAATTACTGCTCTCCTGGTTTATGACTGAAAGTGGATGCCAGAGATGCGGGATTTACTCCAGACCACACAATGAGTCTGCCTGGGCCAGAGCCTAGCTCTCCAGCCCCATCCAGGGTCCCTTCCTCTGGATTCTGTAGGTTGGGAGTGGATTTGCATGCAATGGGCACGTGTGAGCATGTAAGGGAAGTGGTGTCATCTTTGAAGTTGAATCATCGGTGACATCCCAGGGTTAGCATTAATCCCCTTCAGGACAGGGACTATGTCCTATCCCGCTATTTTGCCCTCCTCAGTTTAGCACCTTGTAAAAGACTGAGTACATTAACATGGAATTTAAATAAACTGGTCTACACTGTGTGTGATTAGGGTGTCAACACTATCATAAATGTGGGGCATGCATGGTGACTACTGTGGGCAAAGAAGTGTCTAAACCATGGGGTATCTTATAGGGGTGTAAGGAGTCCTTACGATGGCATATAATGTGATATTAACGGAGTGTCTACACTGTGCAGGTGTACTATTTGGGAGCATTTGAGTTGCTGCACCTTGGGGAGGACCTATTGGATTATATATGGCATCTACACTGTGGTGACGACCTTATGGGGACATAAAAGCTGCCTGTCTGCAGGGTATCTTTTAGAGGTGGATGAAGTGTATACATGATGGGTGTGCACTATTTGGGGTCACATGACATGTCTGCACCTCAGAGTGTTCTACAGGGGTCTATGTGTGAGCAAGATCTGCTGTGCGTGAGGGGGATTTGTTGGGGAGATCTGCTTACTATATGTGATGACTATACAGTACTTGCAATGGCTGTATTTAGGGTGATCATATATAACAAAGTGGTATATTAGTGCATACTGGTATACTGTCATATTCTTTCTGTACATATACTATGTAGGATGGTCATACACTGTGAGTAATGGAGAGACTCTGCATGTGATTAGTGTACCATATGTATGTGATAAGTACAGACTGTGTGTGGAGTACATATTGAATAGGCTTATATGAAGGATATACCCTGAGTGTGGTGAGTATACCCTTTGTAATGGCTATGTTTTGTGAGTAGTAGTATATAAGGCATCTACAGTGTATAGAATGGATATACTTTTATGACAAGTATACACTGTGTGGGTGATGGATACACTTTGGGGAGGCACATGCTATGTGATATGGATGCACTACCAGTATATGTGAGATGGGCATATACCAGTGATGGCAAACCTTTTGAGCTTGGCGTGTCAGCATTTTGAAAAACCCTAACTTAACTCTGGTGCCGTGTCACATATAGAAATTTTTTTATATTTTCAACCATAGTAAAACAACGGCTTATATTTTTGATATTTATTTTATATATTTAAATGCCATTTAACAAAGAAAAATCAACCAAAAAAATGAGTTCACGTGTCACCTCTGACACGCTTGTCATAGGTTCGCCATCACTGGCATATACTATGACATATACAGGGAGTGGGATAAGTTTTCAGGTAAGTGTGAGTACCTGCTGCATATGTATACATGGTGTGGTGGGTATAATCATGAGTAATAGGTATATATGGTATACATAATGGACATATTCTTTAAGAATCCACTTTGTGGGACAAATAGGCACTGTGTGATTCCTACACTGTGGGGGGTAGTCTGTGTGAAATAGTTGTTGGGATGGGTCGGCTGCATGGATATCAGGCATCCTGTGTGTGTGTCTGCATGTGAGCAGACAGAATGCAGTCACTCTACTGGGAGGGGGCATAGCAGGGAGCAGTTGGATCTTCATCTGTTTCCAGAACCTCCAGACCCTTGAGCCCACCGCCATACTGTTTCAGGTTCTTCCTCAAGTTCTTCCTCAAATGCAACCAGAACTGCCTGAAGAACGCCGGGAATCCCCGAGACATGCGTCGCTTCCAGGTGGGTCTGGGGAGAGCGTTCACGCCTGCAAGCCTGCCCTTCCCTGTTCGTGGGAGTCAGGGGTACCCCTGCCACCCTGGGAAAGGCCCCGAGGGCAGATGCCTGCCCAACCCAGCCCAGCCCTGTGCTTCAGGGTCTGATGCCTGCTGGGGGTGGGGCGGCTCCCTCTCAGCTTATGCTGGCTGCCAAGGGAGGCTTCATTAGAGCCCCACTTAAGGAGATGCTAATTGTGACATTTTTACATGATTAACGACCCAGCTAATTTGCATAGCGTGAAGCAGCGAGCAGCTGCCCTTAGCACATCCCCAACCTGCACACCCGTCCCAGGGAAGGAGGGGGGAAGGAGGAGGCAGCCCCAATTTCCTCCCAAGGGTGGGGGCTCCTGCTGGTGGGCTCTCAAGCTGATGCTGACCCCCTCATCAAAACTCTCCCTTCACTTGCCTACGACCCATTCCTGCCGTGGAGCCCCAGGAACAGAGCCTGGGCTACTGTGTGTCTGCAGAACCCGGAGCCACTCCACCGGAGGAGACAGTCCCCGCACCCTCACCCCCCAGAGCTCTTGACTTTTCTAGCTCAGGGGGTCAGTTGCCCTGGGCAGTCAGAGACTGGGCTTCTGGGAATGTCACCTGACCCAGCTGGCTCCCTTCCACAACCCTGCGGGGCTGAAGCTTTTCCCCATGTCGGTGACCCTGAATTCCAGCCGCCAGCCTCCAGGTGCTGGTGCCCCACAAGTTTCCTCCTGGGAGCCTCCCCCCGTCCCCAGGGCTCCAGCCAGGCTGGCCTCGGCTCTCCCCGCAGGTGGTGGTGTCCACGACCGTGAGCGTGGACGGACACGTGCTGGCCGTGTCTGACAACATGTTTGTGCACAACAACTCCAAGCACGGCCGCAGGGCGCGCCGCCTGGACCCTTCCGAAGGTCAGAACCCCGGTTCAGCCCCCGCGGCCGCAGGCCCGGCCAGCCTCCCGTCCCCACCCTGGGGCCAGCCCCTGACCTGGCTCCTCTCCCGCCTCCCAGCTGCCACCCCCTGCATAAAGGCCATCAGCCCGGGGGAGGGCTGGACCACGGGCGGCGCCACCGTCATTGTCATCGGCGACAACTTCTTCGACGGCTTGCAGGTCGTGTTCGGGAACGTGCTCGTGTGGAGTGAGGTGGGCCACCCCCCATCCCCGCCCCCGTCAGACTCCCTCCGGGCTCGGGGTGGGCCTTTCTCTCCCGGGGGCTTCACCCGCAGGCCTCCTCTCTCCCCTCGCAGCTCATCACGCCCCACGCCATCCGGGTGCAGACGCCCCCGCGGCACATCCCCGGGGTGGTGGAGGTGACCCTGTCCTACAAGTCCAAGCAGTTTTGCAAGGGAGCCCCCGGCCGCTTTGTCTACACAGGTGAGGAGTCGGGCGGGAGAGGGGAGGCCTAGGGTCCCGGGAAGGAGCCCGGTCCTCGGTACCGCTCAGGGGCCCTGGCCGGGGGGTTAGTCAAATCTACCTGTGGCCTCGCCCCCTGGCGGCTGCTTTCCTCCCGGTGCACCTCGCGCTGCGTCTCTCCTTGCGATTCTCTCTCTCCCTGGCCTCTGGCTCCTCAGTCCCCGCCCAGGCGCCGAATCCCAGCCCTCCTCCGCCTTCTCTCTGCCTCGGGCCTTCTCACAGGGTGTCCAGAGCACCCCTCTCCTCAGGGTCTAGAGTAGAGTAACATCTCCACGGGAATGTTTATTTCCAAGGTGCCCCCAGTAGGCTCGCTGCTCTCTGAATCCTCCCTGGGTCTCTTGGTTCCTCCAAGCCTCACTCTGCATGCGTGTACACACACACACACACACACACACACACACACACGACCCGAGTGAAAGCCACTCCCTGGAGATGCGGGGTAGAAGCCTCCATCCCGGCTCCATTTGGCCACTGGCCAGAAATTCCCACCTAAGCCCAAGCCACGCATTTCTCCACCCCCATCCCACCCCCATCCAACAGATATTCACGGAGCCCTTCGTGGGGCTCCCCCCACTGGGTAGTGACCCCACTTACTGTCAGGGAGTGCCAGTCTGGCTGGGGGCTGGAGATACACGTGGAGGGGTGGTCAGCCGGGGGATTCCTCCTGCAGAGTGTGTGGGGAGAGGGGGAGGCGAGGGGGTAGAGGCATCCATGGAGACGGGAGAAGGGAGAAGGGAGAAGGGAGAAGGCATGCAAGTACAAGGACCCGGAGTGAGTGTTCTACACTTTGGGGTAAAGGAAAGGAAATTCTCTAAATCTGACGCCAAAGGTGAAGGAAGGTAAGGCTTCCGCTGGTGCGTCAGGTTGGGGTGAGGTGCTGCTGAGAGTGCACCTGAGCTGTGGTAAGTGGAGATGGCTGAGGGGTTTCTTTTCTTATGGCAAATAATTTACTCCCGATAAGACCAAATGCAGATGATTTTAAAAAAAACAACTTTCCCTCCAGTCCTGCAGAAGCTAACATGTACATACAGTTTCCTTTTTTGTCATAAGAGAGGAACTCAAGAAACGTCTAAGATCACCGACCCGGGATTTTCCGAGAGGTTGGGCGGGGCTGGGTGGCGGGTCCGCTGCGCCGGGCGCTGGGAGGGGGCGTCCTCCACTCGCTGCCGCTCTCCCCAGCCCTGAACGAACCCACCATTGACTACGGGTTCCAGCGGCTACAGAAAGTCATTCCCAGGCACCCCGGCGATCCCGAGAGGCTGCCCAAGGT